TTTTTTAATCAGAGTAATCATTGAATATTCAGTGAACTAAAGCTGATTTTTCTTCTTCTTTCCTTTTTTTTTCTTCTTCTCAGGGGAACTTGAACTGGATGCAGTCCCGAGAGGCTTCACTCAAATCCCCTGTTTGGCGTGGTCGCGAAAATGAAATTCGCCCATTTGGAAACCCAAAAGCATCTGACTCTGCGAATCTTGATATGGCTGCTGAGGTAGATGAATGCATTTTATCAATACCATCCCATGGTTTATACGGAGTAAGATGTGGAATATAAAATGTAGATAAATCTCGAAACAGGAGACCTATTGGAGCAGTTTTATCTGAATATTTGATCTATTCCCCCCCGGGATAAATGATTATTGACTCGCACCTAATTGGTGTCCTTCAGTTGAATATCCGTTTACGTATGACAAACCAAAATTTCAGTGTTAGCACACAAGTTTCTTATCTGCAATGCCTTTTCATTTTTTTTTCTGTACTAGGTTGTTTTATATGATGCTAATAGTATCTGCTCTACATTGAATGCAGTTGTTAATTAGATGTGGGCGTCCTCCTGAGGAAGCCCTGATGCTCCTTGTCCCTGAGGCATATAAGAATCATCCAACACTTGGCATAAAGTACCCAGAGGTATTATATTTCCTTGGCATAAATAAAAAGCTCTGTAGTTCCGACTGTGGTAATTTCTTACACCATACCTTAAATGTTTTTTAAAAAAGTGTAAGAAAATTTGTTCTTGTTATTCACCCAAAAATACTGAACTGTCGTGTTGTTTATATTCTTGCTTCTGAGTGTTCCTCCTGAGGGCATGAGCCATTGCTCCTTTGTCTTCCATTCTAAGACTGAAGCAATTTCAAATTTTCAGATCAGTTGTAGGTCATGGTAGACTTTAATTTGTAATGATTTTGCTTCAGGTTGTTGATTTTTATGATTACTACAAGGGTCAAATGGAGGCCTGGGATGGGCCTGCTTTACTCTTATTCAGGTGATCTGTAATTGTATGTTCCTCGGTTGTGTGCGTGCGCGTGTATATGTATATTGCGGATTTTCAGCTCAATTAAATATACTTTCAGAAGGGTAGTTTTGACTTTTGAGCTTGCAAAGCTATTATTTCTTTCCTTTGTCATCCTATCACCTTTTCTTGCTGGAACTTCACTTTTATAATAATAGAGCTTTGCTTCAGATATAAAATGGCCGCATATCGGTGTCATATGTATTTTCCATCGTCTGTTATGGCATTGGTTACTTATTTTCCTTGTGCCAAGGGACTTTTAAGAGTAAGTATTGTTGGAAGCACATATGTGATTACTGTATTTCCTCAATTTTGTGTTCTGAACGTTGGTTTTGTGTAGCAATGTCAAGTTATTATATATTCTTATTATAATGCTGTTAATATCTCAGTGATGGGAAAACTGTTGGAGCTTGTCTTGACCGTAATGGGCTTCGCCCTGCTAGATACTGGCGGACTATAGACAACGTAGTATATGTTGCATCTGAGGTTCTCTCTCTCTCTCTCTCTCTCTCTTTCTCTCTCTCTCTCTCTCCATCCTTTGTATTCATTTTTCTTTTGTTATGTTTATGTTAAATTCACTTTGGTGGTTTTGAGCCATGGATATTTTCTTGGAGAAATTGATTGCTAATAGTGAACTTATCGGTACACAAAAAGAATGCTAGCAACTCACTGGACTTACTTTTTGTTTTTTTAAGATCTTCCATGGGTTGGTCATCCAATTTGCTGCATTCTGAATTATCACTAGTTCGTGTTTTGCGATTTGTGTAACTTCAATTGTTCTGCTGTCAAATTGCTCCCAACTGACAACAGTTAATTATTTTTAAGGTGGGGGTTGTACCAACAGATGACTCGAAAGTTGTAATGAAAGGACGATTGGGTCCGGGAATGATGATTACAGTCGACCTACACAGTGGACAGGTATATTTTTTTAATGTTATTCTTTCCGATGGATAGTTTTTCAGTGAGATTCCTTGTATTGGTTAATTGCTATCCTGGAAATTATTTTGGTGGGCATTACTTAGTTTGGACCAACTGTATCTTAAAAACACATGTTGTACCTGTAAAATATGTGAGCATTTTAATTATTTATTTTTTTCTTTTTTTTCTTGTCCTGCCAAATGCTACTAACATAGATGTGTATTTATCTAATTTATTTATTTATTTTATGTATTTTTTTTGTATTCTTGATAGGTGTTCGAGAATACTGAGGTTAAAAAGCGAGTTGCTCTATCTAATCCCTACGGAAAATGGGTGAATGAAAATCTCCGATCTTTAAAGGCTGCAAACTTTCTGTCAGTAACCGAGATGGACAATGAAACAATATTACAGCGTCAACAGTAAGTCGTTGGGAATATTTTTGTCTCTTATATTTGTATGGGAACATGAAAAGTGAAGAACTTAAAGCTTGTACAACAACAACAACAACAACAACAAAGCCTTTTAGTCCCAAACTTAAAGCTTGTAATTATATTGAAATATTATAAATATGACTAATTCTCCACTGACGTGAAATCTGAGTGATTCATGTTACAGTCTTACAGATATTTCCAGACTAAATTCTCCAATACAAAAATGTAAAATAAAAGAAAATAACATCTAATTTTGTTCTGTCCTTTCTTTTTTTTCCCTTTAAAAACAGGGCATATGGATATTCAAGTGAAGATGTTCAAATGGTGATTGAAGCAATGGCTTCTCAAGCAAAGGAGCCTACTTTTTGCATGGGGGATGATATTCCTTTGGCAGTGTTGTCTAGAAAACCACATATTCTATTCGATTATTTCAAGCAACGATTTGCGCAGGTTTGCACTCTTTTTATAGGATTAGATTGGAAAGAATATGAGCTTCAGTATTATGTCATGCACTATGTAAAAAAGCTTTAAGCTGATTCATATAACAAAATGGTCTATCTCTAAACCAGGTTACCAATCCTGCTATCGATCCTCTTAGAGAAGGTTTGGTCATGTCGCTCGAAATTAACCTCGGGAAGAGAGGCAACATACTAGAAGTTGGTCCCGAAAATGCCTCTCAGGTATATTCTAATTTTTCTTGATTTTTTCATGAGGATACAGAAAAAAAGGGAGTTATTTTACAGATTCGGGTATTAATAGATGTTTGCCAACATTTCTTTTCCCTGCTAATTGTACATAATATAATATTTTCACATTTAACCAGGTAATATTGTCAAACCCTGTGCTGAATGAAGGAGAGCTCGAGTCGTTATTGAAAGACCCATACTTGAAACCCCAAGTTTTGCCGACATTCTTTGACATAAGGAAAGGAGTTGAAAGTTCACTGGAGAAAACACTTTACAAGCTTTGTGAAGCTGCCGATGAAGCTGTTAGAAATGGTTCCCAGCTTCTTGTTCTCTCGGACAGGTCTGATGAGCTGGTAAGTTCTTTTTTTTTTTTCACCCCGAAAAAAAAAAGAAAGAAAAAGAGAGAGAGAACAGTATGCAAGCTTATTGCTGCAAATTGAACATAAATAGGATAAAACAATATAAGGAGATAGATAAGAGAAGTAAAACTTTATAAACATCTTTATGGTTGATAATGCATCTTGATTGATAACCGTTGCTTTTATTAGGAGGCAACACGGCCAGCCATTCCAATACTTCTAGCTGTGGGTGCTGTTCATCAGCACTTAATTCAGAATGGTCTGCGTATGCAAGCTTCCATTGTTGCTGATACAGCTCAGTGCTTTAGTACACACCATTTTGCTTGCTTGATTGGATACGGGGCAAGGTCTGTATAAATATCTTTTTGCATTGCGTTTATTTGCCTCATTAAGTATCTATCTGGAGTATTCTCACGATTAATAACCCCGTGTTATAGGCAGATGATACAATGATATGTTCACATATCTATTCATGCGATTTTTTTTTTAGTTTTTATTGTTTCTGTTTTGTTGGAAAATGTATTTTTTGACAATTCAGAAACAAAACCGCAATGTTTTCTACCACTTTGTCAAAGTCAATTGGTAGATATGCTTGTGTGAGTTAACTCTAACGGATCTCCAATTTTATGATTAGTTTTGTCAAATTGTTGATAATCACGGAGTCAAGGGTGCGGTCCCACACAGTGAAGCGCACCATAGGAGGGTGAGCCTAGGTACACCTTAGTGAGGTTCCATCCCAAAACCAATTGGTGATGAGAGGAGTAGCCCACTAGGCTTATAGACTAGGCTCATTTACGCTATCAAATCAATGTGGGACGACTCACAAGTGATATTCCAACAAGTTTTAAGCCTTTAGTTACACTAGGGATTTTTCTTGTTCTTTGAAATGTGGAGAATCTTGCCAAGTTTTCAAGTTCATCATTCATAATAAGCATTTTCATTAAGATGTCGGTTATAAGACTTCTATGTCAAAACGTATTTAATTATTTTTTATTTTTTCCCTCATACCATATATAACTATTTAGATGTTTCTCTCCAGTGCTATATGCCCATACTTGGCACTGGAGACATGTCGTCAGTGGCGGTTGAGCAATAAAACTGTAAACCTGATGAGGAATGGGAAAATGCCCACTGTTACTATTGAACAAGCTCAAAAGAATTTTTGCAAGGTTTGTATGTTGTTATCTCTACATTTGTTGGATTTAATCAAAATAAAAAAGTTCTCTCAGGTGCATTATATGTCCTGTAATACCAAAATTTTTTGTTGCGCACTTTTTTTTGATGTTCTTGTTGGGTGTGCTGACAAATATTGTTGATTCTATGCCAATTGGTACTGTCTTTTCTGAGTACTTCCTTCTCAAATTTTCTTCCGAGGATCGTGCTTATTGGTTGAAATTGTTACATGAAGTTTTTTCTTTGTGTTACAGGCAGTTAGGTCTGGCCTAATGAAAATTCTCTCAAAAATGGGCATCTCATTGCTCTCCAGGTATGTTAAATGGTGGTCTTCTACATATATTTTGTTTCGTCAACTGTTTAAAGTATTGCTTCTGTTAGCAAGTCTTAATGCAAGATACTCTGCTTTCAGTTATTGTGGGGCACAAATATTTGAAATTTATGGACTCGGCAAAGATATAGTTGACATGGCTTTTTGCGGGAGTGTGTCAAGCATTGACGGATTAACCTTGGATGAGGTAGAGAATATTGCATTCTATTGTTTTTTGTTTTGTTGGTGTTTTCTTGAGGTATGAAGTTTAAAAGTTGTTGATTATTTAAATGCCATTTTGAATTTTGACTCATGCTAAATAATTTGTGCTTCATAAATCTGGTAGGCTGGTTCTTCTTATACATAAGAATGTGATTTATAAACCTTTATTTTTTCTAACTTTGAGGTAAATAATTTTGATAAACATTATTATTCAAATTTGTGCATAGCTTGATTGAAATTAATCTTTTTTATTGCTGGTGAACTGTATCTGTAAAATAAATGACATTCTGAAACGTGATAAAATGTGTGGCTGATGTGTCTGCTATTGAAATTTTGCAAATTTGCAGTTAGCAAGGGAAACTTTATCATTTTGGATTAAGGCTTTCTCCGAAGATACCGCGAAAAGACTTGAAAACTTTGGATTCATACAATTTAGGCCAGGAGGTAGATGTTTAAAACTCTTATTCTTCACTGCATTTTAATAAATTAATCTGTGTATTGCATAATATGCTGAAAACTGTTTTCTCCTTCGACAGGTGAATATCATGGAAACAATCCCGAGATGTCGAAATTGCTCCACAAAGCTGTGAGGGAAAAGAGTGAAACCGCATATTCAATTTACCAGCAGCATTTGGCCAACCGACCTGTAAACGTGAGTTGAATTTGCACATTTCACGCACAACCTCCATTAATGATGCGGTGTAGTAGTAGTCTTGAATATTCTGATAGCAAAATTGGAGCAAATTGCTATAATCATTGAATGTTATGCTGCATTTTTACTGACCTGCAGGTTCTCAGGGATCTTCTCGAGTTTAAAAGTGACCGTTCACCTATCCCAGTCGGAAGAGTCGAGCCTGCTTCCTCTATTGTCGAGCGATTTTGTACAGGTGGCATGTCGCTTGGTGCTATTTCCAGAGAAACTCATGAAGCAATTGCCATAGCAATGAATAGATTAGGTGGAAAATCAAATTCAGGAGAAGGGGGCGAGGTAAATTCATGGAATTTTATCGAATTGAACTCAAATGAAAACGAGGATGTAAAAAGTTTAAAACCTTGAATGAAAGGAATGTTTTAGTTGTTTCTATTAATCGTTCGGCTTTTTTACGGTGTAATTTTCATAATTGACCTTCATTTAGGATCCAATTCGGTGGAGCCCACTTACGGATGTTGTAGATGGGTATTCTCCTACACTGCCACACCTTAAAGGTCTTCAAAACGGTGATACTGCTACAAGTGCCATAAAACAGGTCTAACTGCATTTTACATTTTTTTGACTTTCTTCTCTGCATTTTTTCCTTAGTAAAAATGGAATCTTGAGACTTATTTGTTGAACGTTTATACGAAATTTCAGGTAGCTTCAGGACGTTTTGGTGTGACCCCAACATTCTTGGCTAATGCCGATCAACTTGAAATCAAAATCGCGCAAGGTGCAAAACCGGGCGAAGGTGGTCAACTTCCCGGGAAGAAAGTCAGCGCTTATATCGCGAGGTTGAGGAACTCGAAGCCCGGTGTCCCTCTTATATCCCCCCCTCCGCACCACGATATTTATTCTATTGAGGATCTTGCTCAGTTGATTTATGACCTTCATCAGGCAAGTAGCATGAGTTAAAATTGTGTGTATAGTTGTGAAAATAATAAGATCACTATAATTCTAGATTTATGGGTTTATGTTAGTTATATTGAAATGAACAGGTGAATCCAAGGGCTAAAGTGTCGGTAAAGCTAGTTGCAGAAGCTGGGATTGGTACCGTGGCCTCTGGAGTTGCAAAGGGAAATGCAGATATTATACAGGTATGCCCGATTGGATATGAAATGAAAT